ACCTCAAACTCCTGGGCTTGAGCGATCCTCCTGCCTCAGCCTCCTCCTGAGTAGCTGGAACTACAGGCACGTGCCACCCCAACCGGCTAATTTTTCTATTTTTTGTAGAGACAGAGTCGCGTTCTTGCTCAGGTTGTTCTCAAACTCCTGACCTCCAGCAATCCTCCCACCTCGACCTCCCAAAGTGCTAGGATTACAGGTGTGCGTCACTGCACCTGGCCTGGCATTTAGTTCTTACATCATGAATGATGTAATGGGATAGTGTTGGCCTAGATCCTAAATGACATGTGAAAGGGCCATTTTTCAAGCTTCAGTTTAGGAAAGTTGGGCTAAACATAATTGGTCTCAAGGTCCATTTCTGAATGAGCTCAGAAAACATCTTATCAACTAGAGTAGTTGACTTTAAAAGCTCAAATTAAATCAAGCATTTGGCAAAGATATCCTGTCACTAGAACTGCTTAAAGTCCTGTGTGGCAAGTGAATCCTGACTGTCTGTCCTCATTAGCTCTGTCAGTGTGATTGAGCCTGGAAGGGCACAGAGTGTATTCCAGCCAGCTTTCTAAAGGACAGTTTAGATCCAGACCCATACATTGAAAACCATCACCTCTTAGAAAACATGCTATTTGTCCTTGAAAATTTGATTTTTCAGGCAAGTGTTTAATATGGGATTAGACAGACTTTAGGCAGGACTAATTATTGGCCTTGGTGACCCTTTCTGCAGCTTTCGTTATGTCCTTTTTCTCTGAACCTGGATTAGCACTGGTTATGGACTAAGCCATTTGTATTCCATATTCATTGCTGGTTACTGATACATAAAACCCACACCTGACAGCTACCATGAAGGTTAGTTACAATTTGGAGAAACTATACTCTGATATTCAGGTAGTGATTTCAAGGGGGATAAAACAAGAAAGAGTATGGATCCCTTGACTAACTTGTATTCTAATGGCTAAATAATAGCTTTGGATCACCTAGATGCATCTCTCCCTGCTATTGGGAATAATTTCCTATGTGCTGATTATGTGGTTCCATTGCCATACACCCAGGAGTTTTTACAACAGATGATTGGTTCTAATTATCTATTGAGATTTTCCTGTACATTTTGTAAATGATTGGTACTGTCTACCACAAAATGTTTCAGGTTAATCACTACAAAAAAAAACATTGGGTTTTCAATGGCTTGTTCATTTATGTTTGGGGACAGAGTGCAGGATTGTTTCCAAGAAATGTTCCTGCTCACGGCATATGTATTCCTTCAGCCAGCGCTCAGGTGAAGTGTCCAGGTGTTATGTTTATAACATTCTAGTTATATTCTTTAATTTATATGGAAACGTTTTAATAAATCAATTTTATGCATAGCTAATTGTCAAAACATATGGATCTGTCCACATTCCATATTCTTTCCAGAAAATTGATACAAAAAATAAAACATTGTCTGAAGGATATGCACTTCATCCATTGTTCTACATCTATTTCGTTCTGACAATCAACCACAATGTGCTTGCACCACAAGGTTTTGGTTCATCATAGAATTGTTTTAATGCTTACTGGAATTAGGTCCTTGATATTAAAAAGGGGACATTATAAAAATAACTGTTTGAACATATCTCTCTTCCATTATTACAGGTAGGGATATTATTCACAGCAGTGTCTAATTTCCTTATGGATCTAAGATTATTCTTCCCTGTCAGAATCAGCAAAGTGAT